GCTCTGTGCCTGCTGCTCTGGGACACCTCATCCCCACCCTGCCCTGTCCCTGCTGCTCTAGGGCACTGCATCCCTACCCTGTGCCAGTGCCCGACGCCCCGAGGCATCCCATGCCTTCCCTGCCCTGTGCCTGCTGCTCCTGGATATTCCATCCCCATCCTGCCCCTGCTGCTCCACCTCTCTCACTCCCTCCCTGCCCCTGTGCCCCCCGGGGCATTCCCATCACCGCTCTGTGCCCAGAAGCAGCACCACCAATGCCCAGGGCGCTGTCACCACCCCTGCACCTCCCGTGTCCCTGCATGCTGGGGTCCCCCATCCTCCCCATGCCTCAGGGCTCACTCTGCCCGTCCCACTGCTGTGCCAGGCTCTGTGCCAGCCCCTGGGTGGGTGCTGGTCCCTGCCTGTGTATTTTGAGGGGTGTGCTCTGGGCAGTGCCTGTGTGTGGGTGAACAGGTTGTGCTCAGGTACATCTCACTGTAGTGTTGGGACGCTGTTAGAGCCAGGTGCCATCCGAGGATGAGGTGCTGAGCTGTGGCACCCTGACATTGGGCTGGGGCTACTTTCTTTGCAGAGAAACTATTTCATAGGTGTAAATTTCCCAAATTGGATTACAGAAGTATTTTCCTTTACATGACACCACTGCCTGGAAGGTGTGACATTGGATTGTTACTGTGCTTTTGAATATCACCTGTGTGACCACAGCAGCAGAGAATAAATATTTTTTCTCTATTTTCTCAGATTACTTGGTGCATTTGCCAGCACCCCCGTGTAGGAACAGGTCCCTATTTCCTCTCTGCAATCAGCTCCTCATTGTGTTCCTTTCCCTGCAGCATTCAGGACAGCAAAGCTTTTTAGCAAATTGAAAAAGAGTGGGGGTTTTTCAAGCCCGCAGCAATTGGCAGCTTTTAGTGCCTGAGCTTGTTTGTTTTGTCTTGTTGATTGGATTACAAGTCGATGGTGGCTTGGCATCCTTAGAGCAGCCTGGTGTCAGGGTGCTGCAGGGCACAGGTGCATTGTCACCTGTCACTAAAGCACCTGGTGCTCCTTCAGAAAAAAAGGCTTTATCACAGGGGCAAATTAGCCCCTGGGTGACATGGACAGCCCTGCTTCATCTCCAGCTGAGGGAAATTTGAAAGGGAAGAAGAAAAAGGCAAATTAGTAGTCCTGTGCTTTTATCTTGGCTTCCCCAAATCACTTTGCTTTTTTCAGGCTCTGGGCACCTCAGAGATTTTTCACTTCCATGGCTGAAGAGCATCCTGCAGGCAGGGCAGG